ATTCGAGAGCAGAAATGAAGCCGGCGCCTCAGCGAGAGCAGCATTTTGAAAAAAAGCAGGCGAAAACCCAATTCCCGGGAATCCAGTGTGTAAAAAACAGTTCGCGGGGGGGGGGGGGTCTAATACTTTCAGGCCGCCATCGGGGGAAGAGGGAAAGTAGTATTCATATTGAGTAATTGTGGAAGAGAGGGAGGCAGAGGGGGAAGGAAGACAGGTCACAAGTCGAGGGGGAAGGCTCGGGGCCGCGCCAGCAGGAGGGACGAAGGCGCGACGGGGACCCTGGAGGTCTCCAGAGTTCGTGGAAGTCCTGCCGAGATCTCTGGAGGGCCTGGGAGGCATCCAGAGGCCTCAGGAGGCTTCGCGAGGAGGAATGCCAAATTTGTCCACCTTTCGACCCCCACTGAGATCCGACGTTGCGGAACAAATTGCGACGACCCGAGAAATAACGACCGGAGCCATATCCCATCTTCTTGTGGCATTGTTCGAGCCGGATCGATCTAGCTGTGATGGTCCCAGGGCCCGGAATTGGGCGAAAACGCCCAGTGCGAAAAAGTTGCAACGACTGGATCTCGGGGCCCCCCCAGGACTGCCCTGTCTGCCTTGGCCCCCTGTCGCGGAGCTCGAACTTCGTGCTGCCCTGCGGGCATCACTTCCACAGCATGTGCTGCGGGATGGCTCTGCAGGTGCTCGGGCTGGGGGATGGCTCCGCTGGGGTGTAGGGCAGGGTCGGCAGCAAAGGCGGAGCGGGATGATGATAGGGGGCCACATGCGAACCCTACCCCTAACCCCCAAGATTTCTGAGGGGGAGGGTGGAGTTCACTTCGCTCGGGAGCTCCCGAACGAAGCGAACCCCACCCTCCCCCTCAGAATCGTGGGGGGTAGGGGTAGGGCTCGCATGTGGCACCCTAGGTGAGGCAACGCGGCGAGGAGGGAACGAGGGATCGAGGTTCGAGGATCTGGCCCGGAGTCTCGCGAATTTTGTGCGGCAGTCCTGGGCCATTGCAATTTTTTCGCGCAAGGCTCGGACCCTTGCGAATCTTCCGCGGAAGGCCCGGAGGAGGAGGAGAAGGAGGAGGAGGTGGAGGAGGAGGAGGATCTTGCGCTTAGCGTGTCGCTCTGCCGGTTCTCTCCCCGCGCTGTCCGCGTCCCAGTTCCCAGGCATCGGCGTCTGGAGCCCTTCGAGGCCTCCCTCCCCGCGGGACAGGGCGACACGCTATCCACTGGCCGGGCAGGGCGTACCGCCGGGGCCGCCACTGCGACACGCGAAACAGTAGACTTTTCTGAAATTTTTGTGATCCCCCATGTCCAGAGTGTGGTTCTTGCTTTCTCTTGACAACCCGCACAGGAACACCTCGGCCCCCGTCACACGCTCAAGTCATCCTCACCGTTGCCATCATCATCGCCACTGCCATCATCCTGATCATCCGCATCATCATCATCATCATCGTCATCATCATCATCATCATCATCATCATCATCCTTCTCCTCATCAGCATCATTAGCATCATTATCGTCGTCGTCATCATGATGACGACGATCCTCATCATTATCACCATCAGCATCAGCATCATTACCATTATCATCGTCGCAATCATCATCATCATCAGCAACAGCATCATCATCATCATCATCATCGTCAGCACTCGCATCATCATCGTCATCAGCATCTACATCATCATCATCATCATCATCATCATCATCATCATCATCATCATCATCATCATCATCATCAGCATCAGCATCAGCATCAGCATCATCATCATCATCATCATCATCATCATCATTATCATTATCATTATTCATCATCATATCCGTCGGCACTGTCACACTCACCCACCCACCACGCACACACACACACACACACGCTCACCCACACACACAGACTCATAACATCATCGTCGTCATCACCATCACCATCATCAGAGACGCAAGCACTCGCAAAATCACGCGCTCACGCGCTCCCTCACACAAATACCTTGAGGAAGTCTCGAGCGGGAGCCTCGTGTGTCAGGGATTTGCGAGGAAGTCTCAGGAGGGAGCCCCCCCCCCATTGGGCTCGAGTTTAATTTCCCCCACATCCTGAGTGGTGTTCTTGCGTTCTCTGAACACCCCGCGCAGGAATCCCTCACCCCCTTCTTCTCATTATGATTCACACGCCCATGTCATCCTCACCATCGCCATCAGCATCGTCACTGTCATCATCCTCATCACCGTCACCGTCATCATTCTCATGACCATCACATCGTCGCCGCCACACTCACACACAAACACTCACCCACACACACACACTCACAGCATCATCGTCGTCATTACCACCACCAGCATCACAGTCGCACACAATCACACCATCACGCTCGCACTCACACGTTCATCCTGAAGAAGTCTCTCAATCACGCTCTCATTCACACGAGTGCGCACGGCGCTAAGGCGAGGGAGCCACATCTAGAAAACGGCCCGCGCCCACAATCCGTGAAACTCGTTCAACTTGTTGGGACCAATGTGCGCCGCACGTGGGCGAGATTGCCACTCTCTGAAAACGACCCGCCTTCCCTCCGTGAAGCTCCTGCACCTTCATAACAACGAGTCTGCGCGGCTCTAGGGCGCGAGCCACATCTTGAAATCGGCCCGCCCTCAGTCTGTGAAGCTCTGACAAATTGTGAAAACGAATGCGCGTGGCTCAAAGGCGAGAGAGCCGCATTTTGAAAACGGCCAATCTGTGAAACCCTTTCAAACTGTTCAAACGGGTGTGCGCGGCGCAATTGCGAGAGCCACATTGTGAACACCGGCCACTCTCCATCCGTGAAGCCGTTGCTAATGTTTAAGCTTCAGGGTCATAGATGGTGAGGAAATCTCAGGCGAAACGCCCGTCCCGCCCTTTCGACCAGCCCTGGGGGGCGACAGGAAGGAGTTAGTCATAAGGAGAAGGAGTGTACGACGACGACGACGACGAGATTGGATATGGCAGAGAGTAGGGGACGATGATGCCGAGAAGAGGCGTCCGGGGAGAAGGGAGGGGACTGGCAACCGATACAAGACATAGCTAGTAGATGATTCTCCAATCGAGGTCTGAGTTTGTGTGTCTTGTGAGGATTCGAGTTGAGGGCGTCGTCGGAGATCTGATTTCATTCCAGGCGCTCCGCCGCTGTTTGTTGGCAGAGGTAATACTCTGGAAGGCTTTCGTGATGAACCCCTCCTGGCACGCGTTTCCAAAAGACGTGCTCGGGCGGCTTGTACTGTGGGGCCGAGGGTTGCAGGAAAGGCCCGCGAAGACGCCCAAGAAGGGCCCCATGTGGCCCTGGCGGTGCGCCTTTCTTCGTCCCCCTGTTGATCCCCCCCCCATGAGGCAACGACCAAGGTTACCAATGCCCCCGAGGCCCAGGCCGGTGCAGACCAGGACTGTGCCATATCCGCTCGGAGAACACGACGAATGGGCCGCGCCTGGACCCACGTCTGCGCTTACCGCTGAGCGCTCCGATGCCCTCCCGCACATCGGGCACTCCAGAGTTTTCCACGCGTGGGCTCTAGGAGGTCTTGAGGTCTGGACCACTTGGGCGCGAATTGATAAAGTGGCATGTGTGGGGGGGGAGAAAGGTGCCCTTCTTGCGGCCCCGAGAGGCGCCTTTCTGGACCCGAAAGGGCTCCTGTAGGGGCCCTACAGGGCCCCTTTTCGGCAGCCCTCGCTGCCCCCCCCGTGTATCGCCCCCCATTGATCGCCGCCCAGACCACTTCCCTGGGGCAGGTTTGTCGTCCTGAGCTGTTTCACGACGGTTCCTGGACCCGTTGAGGGCCCCCGGAGGGCGAGCATAGCACAACAAGTCGCCGCTCCAGTTTTTTTCGGAGCCTCGAATCTTTAGGGTGATCATTGGGCGCACCGATGCCTCGTGGTGAACCAGAGCCCCCGTCTGCGGGGCCCTGGGCTGATCGAGGGAGGGCTGTCTCCCGCACGCCCCGAGCAGAGCCTCCGAGCGCCAGCCGCCCCACGGCCGCCACGCCTCGGGAGGCACCCTCGGGAGCGATCGCGGGCGGCCGGTGCCACCCCCCACCGTGAGAGAGGTCGGAGGTGCCCGCCCAAGACGGCCTCTCCCCGCGGGGCAAGCCAGGGCCACGAGCCACCGGGGCGCGCCCCCCGAGCAGCTCGAGGGGCCTCCGAGCGGCCCTGGCCAGGGCCCCCGCAGGCGGGGCATTTCTGACTTTCTGACCCCAGGGATCTGGGGCTCCGGGAAATTCGGAGCGCCCCGTCTTGGGGGCTGCTTTCGCCCTCCAGGGGGCCCTCCACCGGCGGCGGGACCGCCATCAAGCGGCTCAGAGCGAAAAACTGGCCCTGCGGGAAGTGGTCCCGACCTCTTGGGGGCCCACGCATTGCAAGAGTTGGAGCGCCGGGTGGTGTCCGAGCCAGCGCTCACTTCTGAAGAGGGGTCACCTGGTGGACTCCCGGCGCGTTTCTGGGGCATGAGGGGGCCCCGGGCCGCGATACCCGTGGGACGGCCATGTCAGGGGCAACGTTGGGGGGGAGATGCTCCATGGGGGATGCATCGACCCCCAATGGCCCATTCATCGCAGACAGGGGCCCGATATCCCCAACCCGCCCATGAGCATGCGCATTCGACATCGGGGGCCTATCGCCGATCTATCGGCGTTGTATCGCCGACTCCAGGTCGATGTACCCCCCCCCCTGAGCCAGTCCTTCCTTCTCGTTGCCCCTCACTGGGAAGACGCGCGTCCTGGGAGGCCGAGCGGTGATCGTCCCGAGGCTCTCCTGGACCTCTCGCTGGTAGGTGTGCGGCCGCAGAATATGGGGCGAACAACGAGGCAAGAAGAGGGGGTGGATGCAGTGTGTGTGTGTGTGTGGGGGGGGGGGGGCGGGGGCGTTTCGGCGGCCGCTGTAGGGAAGAGTGAAGGCGGAGGGGGAGCATGAGGAACAGAAGGAGGACGATGAGATGATAAGACGGAGGATGGAAAGAAGGAGAAGAGGAGAAGGAGGATGAGGAGGAGGAGGAGATGAGAGGAGGAGGAGGAGGAGGAGGAGGAGGAGGAGGAGGAGGAGGAGGAGGAGGAGGAGTAAGGGCAGGACAAGGCGTAGGAGACGAAACAAGAGGAATCTAAGGAGGAGGGCGAGGCAGGAGTGAGAGGAGCAGGAAGAGCAGCAGCATGAGGAGCAGTACGATCAGGGGGACGAGGAGGGGAGCCGCGAGCAAACGTGGGAGAAGCGCAGACGGTGACCGAGTGGGCCTCCCCTGGGCAGGTCTCCGCAGCCTGCCCGTCGTGCCGCACTGAGGCGTGGGCCCCCGCGCATTGGGATAACAGGTGTTGTTCTGCTCTTCGAGTCCTCACCGCCCTCGTCGTCCACACGCTCGTCATCCTCGGCGCTTCGTCGCCTCCGTCGTCGTCATCATCACCGCCGTCGTCGTCATGCTCCACCAGCCGCGAAGGTGGCGCTGACGTCCAAGATGCGGATCGTTCTGTTTCTCGTCCGCCCCCGAGGGCGTCTCTCACGCGCCGAAGAGATGGCCGAGAAGTAACGATGTGGACGTCTCTGTCGCCGTCGCCCACGGCCCGCTCAGTCGAGAACTGGAGTGCAGTTGGCTTCGTTGGGGCATAGGAGTTCATGTAAGAGGCTGTGTCTGTCCACTGGCATTGACGACGAGGTGGTGAAATAGATCCCGAACCAGTTGTCGCGACCATCGATTCTAGTACCAAGGGTTTGGTCTAGGTTGGGGCAGGTGGAGGCGCATGCACGGCACTCGCGTGCAACATCCTGCCTGGTCTTCACCACGCGAAATTGCCGAGCCATGTAGTGAGCCACATCCAGCCCACTCCACCCCACCTTGTCTCACAACTAGTTCACTGGACTGAATTGGTAAGTATACTTCACGTAAGGTAGTAACACGTGGTGGCGCACTACCATACCACGTCACGACATTAAGTTCGAAACAGTAATGAAATCCCAGTGCGGTGTATATGTCTACGCTGCAACGGGAGGTATTCATATTAAGCGGGATGGTACGCAGAGCATCGTACCATCGCCTCATGATGTGTAAGATCCCCATGGAGTTGAACTATGTGGCGTGGTGCAGGGTCCGGCACCAAAATGTATTGGCGTTGACATTGCCCAGCTTCTCAGCGTAGCACAGTCTAGCGGTTTGCAGTGCACGTGCGCCAACCTAGCACGGCAGCAGTCCACGCTATAGTCTTAAGCGCTCATGGATGGAAGTGCTATGAGACCTGGACGACGGACAATCGCCGACGCATGCTTTGCCCCACCCGTGGCAAGCTCGACACAAGCCTACTGTAACGCCAGACGTTGACACCACATGATCTCTCGGACAATCCGACATTCGATCAGATGTCGTTTTTCATTGTTGAGGTTTCTTCTGGTCTTGCTACGGTGTTTGGCAAACTATTCTTGTGATTGCTTTGATTTGAGGAGCCACGCTAGCCACCCTCCCTCCTCGTCGTCGTCTCTCTGAGTTTCGTTCCTTGTCCCTCGCCGAGTGCCTGCGTGGTGGCTCTCCCGCCGCAGGATGATCTTGACATCGTGCTCGGTACATGTAGTGTGAACGACCCTTTACCGACTCTGTCTTGTAGTGTACCCGCTGTTCGTTTCGGCTCACAGGTGTTGGTAAGTACGCGCAGACTCCTTGGACAGGGAGACGGGCAACACGTTCATCGTAGTCCTTCACTATCGTTACCAGCCCTTCGGTCAAACGTTTCATCATCCAGGCGATCAGCCTTTTAAGATCTAATCCCCCGTGCATGCCAACCCGCGTGCGGCGGGGCACCAACTCCCGCCCAGATGGTGACCACCCCGCCTCGCGCGGGTGTGCCGCATTCTGCGGCGTAGGCTGGTGACTCTCCTGTCTTGCGGGCGCACGCAGCCTCGAGGAAATCATGGATTTTGGCGGGGCGAACGCCGCTATTGTACCAGTTTCTCCAGACACTTCCCACATGCCTGGGCGTTTGATAGATCTGATCCCATCCACGACGCCTATGGCGATCCGAGCTTGCGCGCCACCCCCACAGTAGGAGCCATGGTGGCCATGGTGACCATGGAGCCCTCGGCCCCTTCGCTCGGCGCCTGCGGAGGGCACACCCTGCAGACTGCAGCTTCGGTGGACACCGTCACTCACAGGATGCTCACCTCCTGCAGGGGGGAGCTCCCGCAAGAGCTGGCCGCCATGGGCCTCGCAATATTCGGGGCGCTCATGCCCCAGGAGTCCTCGACCTCACCACACAGGGCTTGCGAGGGGGAGTTCCTGCAAGCGTCCTCCCGTGGACCAGCAGCACACCTGCGGGACTCCTTGTCCCCGCAGGCCTTCCAGCTTCGCTGGGTCCCCGTGGTTCACTGGTGTGGGCTCGCGACGCCCCCGCTCCCGAACGTGTGGATCGCTCATGTCGCGTGGTTAAGCAGGCTCGTGCAGTCGAGTCTCGGCGCATAGGAGCAGAGAGTGGTTTTGCCCACGCTTGCGCTACCGCAGTCTCTCCCCATCGCCGCACCAACCCCGAGTTTCCCTGCCGCGGACCCCGACATGCAGGCCATTGCGACACGGCCGCGCAGGACCTTCATAGCCGAATTATCTCCCAGAGAGGCCGCACGCCGGGCGCCATAACACCTGTGTTGCCAGTTGTCCCACAACAACACGGCACCGAGCTGAGAGGCCAGATTGGAAACACTACTGCGCAACAGTTTCCCGCCATGTAGCGATCCATCGCCGCCGCCGCTTCCTACGCGGCCGTTCCGCTGTTGGATCTGATCAGAGTTCAAAGTGCTCCAGGACACCGACTAAATTGTCCAACTCGACCGCCTCGCCGTTTCTCAGGCGGCAGCTCGAGTCGACGAGCCCCAATATTCTTACGCTGCCAGGGTCGCGCCGGCCCTGCCTCGGTCAAACCCGACCTCCATCACCTCGCGGCGAACCTCCTAGGCGATCAAATATCATAGCGACTCACATGCACTATCTTGTTTTCCACGACGAATTGCAAACGTTTGCGCTGGCCACTCCTGGCAATGCACCTGGCGCAATCCACGGGCACATACAAAGCAGCTTCACGACGTGGTTACTTCTCGATCCACTGTCCTACGCTCAGAGACCCGTAACGTCCAGGACTGGAGCGGCAAGCATTGCATGGCCGAGAACGCTGTCAATCAACACTTCAGCGTCGCTGAGGTGTTGCTTCCTATCCAGCGCTGAACCAGCGACGCCTATGCCGCAACCGTCGTTGATTTATCCACCAGAGTCTAAGCAAGTGGAAAGATCGTAACAGAGCTGCATGTGTTTCAGGTGCCCAGACTGGCCAGTTCGGAACCGCCTCGGTTGTCAACCGCGCCCCCTTTCTGACATAGGTTTCAGGCCTTGGGGGCGGCGGCGGGCCACGCGCCGCGGCAGCTGCGCGAAGTCCAAGCAGCGAGAAATGCCTTGGCGGCGCGGGCTTCCGAGGTTTAGACCCGCCTCGGTGACGCAATCGCCAGGTTTCCGCGACCTACAAACCACGATGCTTGATCTTCCTTTTGAAGTTGAACGTCGACACTCTCGCTCGACTAAGCGCGCCGGAATCTTCTACTGGAGCGCAGCGGCCGATCGCGCGGCTCGCGCTGCGGATGACGGCGCAGCTCGGCGCGCCGCGCCAGAGACGCAGCGCCGGCCGCCGCCCTTCCCAGCGCAAGCGACGCGCGCGCAGTCTTTTGGGACCGACTCGACGTTGCGCACGCGTGCGTACATCTCGACCAAGAAGACGCGGCCGCGCAAGGATCCGCCCAACCAGGGCGCGCCCGCGCACGCCCCTATCCCTCTACCAGACAAATGGTAGAGCAGATCCGATCAGGATTGGCCGGTTGCGAGCGACGAAGCACCCGAGTTGGTCGACGCGATTCAAAGCGATATCCCTTACTAGGCTGCAACTGTCTTGCCAGCGCGACAAGCGCCGCCGTGTCTCGACGGAGGCCGCGACCGACCGCGAGAGGCAATTCCTGCGCAGACAAGCTTCGAACCGCCCAGCAGCCCGCTCACGATTTCGGATTCTCAACGGCGGGTCGCCCCGCCACATCGCGGACAGTGACGACGTCGCCCACGTGGAGACGCCATCGATCTACAGATGCGACGATGAGATCCTAGAGACTGCCAACGGCGAGCGCGCTGTGGACGAGCATTATTCTGTTTGGACCCGCGACTTCACGCTTACCAGTGCTGCTCTGGCTCTGGCTGCAGACGGGCCCTCAGTCTGCTCATTCGGCTTCCTCGTCGACGACGATGACTCCGGCTTGCTCCAGACGCGCGAGGCGTGGCGTTTTCTCGCCGCCCCCAGCCGGGCCAGGGCCATCGCGCCTCCGCGCGCATAAACATGCCTCGCGTGGAAGACCGAGACGGTGCGGGCCGACTGGCTGGTCAAAGGGCCGCGCGCGCTGTTGTGGGTACTCTTCTTCATGCTCCGAATGGCGGGCGGGGCCATGGCGTGGCGCGCGCGCTGGTTGGCCGTGGCGCAGCTGCTGGAGAGCGACGAGAGGGCGAAGCTGCGCGAGACGACCTGCCGATCTGCCGCGTGATCGAGGCCGCCCTGTGCCACGACCAGCTCATAATATGCGAGCTCGTCAGTTTCGAGCGCGTTGGGCGACGGCTGCAACTCATCGAGGAGCAGGTCTTCGAGGAGAAGGCGCGCGGGCCCGCGGCTGCCGCGGCCCCGATGGCCAAGGCGCAGGGGAAGGAGTCAGTGGCCACCGATTTCGCTCCGGAGTCTCGCCGTTTTCTGGGGGCGGGCGAGACGGAGGGCAACTTGTGCATCTGCCCCGCGCTGATGGACTGGATAGCAGAACAGATGAATAACGAGGCCGCTGTGGCCAAAGAGCGCCGCAAGGCTCGCGAGGGGCGGGCCTTGCGGGCATCGTGACTGACCATGAGAACGAGGATCGGGAGGGGGCTCGCCTCGCCGCCGCGGCGCGGGAGCCCGATCTTGGAGCCCCAGAGCGCATTTGCGCTCCGCCTGGCCTGGGCCCTCCAATGCGAGATCGTTTTCGCCAGCGCGATATTTTCCCTCTGCCTTTTCTCCGCGTGGATGGTCGCCGCCGCGCCCCGCTTGGCCGAGGTGCCCGCCGTCGCGCCGCCAAAGGTGCTGCCTGGCGGGAGTGGTGCAGCGAGGGGTTGGCCGCTCTCAACCAGCTGCATTGCGGCAAGGTGGGCACTGGCGTCGATGATTGCGGGGCGGCTGATCCTTCTGCACGGCGGGCCTCGGTGGGCGACCTCGCGGACCGGCGCCGCGATGTCGCGCTGCCCTCGGGCTACTCTGAGAGAAGAAGCGGGCGCGAAGCATCCCTCGCGCAGATGCTCGCTCAAGCACCTGGGCGCGCTGGCGACGGCGGTCGGGCGCGGCCCTGCAGCTTGCCCTTGGTGGCCTGGCCCGAGGTGGCGGACCCCGTTCCCGCGTGCGACGTCGTCTCGGTCGCCGAGTCTAAAGTGCTGCAGGGATGGGAAAAGAGCATGGTCGCAGCGGAGTTCCGCGAGTCATTGGGGGTCGTTCGGCCCTGCGTGGTTCTTGAACTTCGACGCCAACTACAGTCTTACGCAGAGTTTTCGAAGCAGCTGGAGTCGCACGACATGGTCGCGCGGCGAGTGGCTTCAGCGGGCACCGCCCTCTCAATTGGTTTATTTTTCGTGGAGTAAACGAGCGGTGAGCTGAGGCTCAAGTTCGACGCGAGGGCGGCGAAATGCAGCTTTCGCAGTCCGCCCGCGACGCGTCCGCCGACGCCGAGCTCGCGGGCTGGCCTCGACTGCGACGACGCGTTCGAATTTCCCCAGGGAGACATTCAATGTGTGTTTTTTGTTTTACCATCTGTGGCTGCCGCCAGGGATGGAGTCGCTGTTCTCACTTCCCGTGGTGGCAAATAGATTGTTCGGCTTACCGTCCGTCAACGGGAAGTGGGTTAGCGTCCACGCGTGGACCCAGCCTCATGTGTGCATCGCCCCAACGGGGTGAAATTGGGCCTTCCATTTCTGCCGGCGTGCCCTTACTCATGCGATTCGAGAGGTTGGGTTTGACGAGGATCAGATTCTAGTTGATGGGTCCAGCTACCCGCCCTCTCCGAGATCCAGGGGATGTTGTGTTTGCAGGCTGCGTTGATAGCTTCTGCGTAGTGTCTAAGTCGGCCGGGGCGGCCTTCCGTCGATGTCATGCGATCGCTGACTTGCTCAATTCTCGTGGGCTGAGCGTGCTGGAGGTCTTGGACGGGGGGTCTGGCGTGATTCGAGTGCGGCTTGATCGACTGGCCCGCCTTCGCCCAGCCGTCCTAGCCCTCGCCCGTCGGGGGGGGGGGGGGCTGCGAGCGGGTTCCTGAGCGTCCTGGTGGGCCACTGTACTTGGGGGATGATTATGAGAAGGGGCGTTCTCTCGGTGTCGAACTCTGTGTATCGGTTCATCGCTGTCACGGGGCCCCAACCAGCTCCCTTGTTGGACTCGGTCGTCCTGGATCTCCGCTGCGGTGTCGCCCTCATTTAATAGTGGAGGACGTCGCCCCGTTCTGCGCGGTACCCGCGGGTCTATGCGTCGGACGCCTCGCCATGCGGGAAGGGGTCTGCGTCGAGGTGGTTCCAGACGAGATCGTTTCGGGCGTGGGGCGGGTCTCTGAGAAGTGGAGATACCTGTGCACAGACAGAGTTGCAGCTCGAGGGCGCGCCTTCGTGGCCACCGCCGCCGAACCCATGGGCGTGTACGCAGGAGATGTCCGACCCGTGGGCGGGTCTGAAGGAGGTGGAAATGACCCGGGAAATGAACCCCCACATCCGCGTTTATTTTCCGGCCTCTTGCGCGGCGCTCGGAGGCCTGGATGCGACGCCCAGCCCGTGGGCGGGCTTCCGACGGATCTCGAAACCGCGTGCGAGCCTACGCGAGATGTCCAACCCATGGGCGGGCCAGCGAGCGACGTTCAACCCGTGGGCTGTCTCCTGGAGGTCCTTGCGGTCGTCTACGGCAGGGAGGGGCGCAAGGTGATTCATTCTAGCAGGCGTTCCAACATGGGCCACAATTTCCTTCAGTACGAGGCAAAGGCCTTGGGGTTCAGTCTTCACCATGCGTCGATGCCCATGGGGCTTCATCACCATCGCATCGCCTTCTTCGTAGGCAATTTTGCTCTTGCGCTCTCTGTGGGGGAAGGCCGCTCAGGTAGTCGCCGCCTGGGGCGAGGTCTCCGCCGCCTGGCGGCCGTCGCCCTGGCGCGCGGTTTTCGCGCGCTCGTGCAGTGGATTCCTTCGGAGAGGGATGTCGCGGACAAGCCGTCGCGGGAGGGGTTCTTCGTCGGCTCCTGCTTCGAGGACTTCGACGCGCAGGGGCCGCGCCGCCGCCCGCGGGCCGCGGGGGGTCGCGGCTGCCGCTCGGGCGAGTCCGTGCCACCCAGGGCCTTCTGCGCTGCTGAATTGGAATCTGTCGGTGCTGGAGGCGGCTGCCATTACGGAGAGCACCAAGGCGAACTATTTTTCTGGCGCTGGCGCCTTTGGACAGGGCGCAACTTCGACGGGCGCGGGGCTCTCGATGCGGTGCTCGCGGTCTTCTTCGCGCACCTGTTTCTCGACGGGTGCGACAGCGCCACTGGCAGGATGACGATGGCTGCCCTGCAGCGTTTTCTCCCAGCGATGCTCAGTGGCGCTCGACCCCTGCCGCGGGGCTCTCGCGCGTTGCAGGGGTGGGCCAAACTGCCCCGCCCGCAAATGCGACTGCCGCTGCCGAGGGTGGCCATGCATGCGATCGTCGGTTGCCTGCTGAGCCGCGGCCTCGTCAGCGAGGCACGTTCGTCCGGATCGCCTCCGACGCGTACCTCCGCCCCGGCGAAACCTACAGGCCGACGGCGGCGTCGATCACATCCGGCCTCGCGCCGGGGCGACGGGCGGCCATCAGCACTGGGGCCTCCTCGTCAACGACGCAGCGAGCGGCAGGCCCGGCAAGACGGGGGTGCTGGACGAGGGCGTGGTCGTCGACAGTCCCGAGCTGCGGCCGCTGCTGAAGGCGCTTCTGATGGGCCGTTGGCCCAAGCGAAACTGCTGGACTCTTCGCGCCCGTCCAGATGAGGAAGGCAGTCAACGACAGCCTCCAGGCGTCGGGGCTCGACGGGGAGCAGACCTCGCTCTGCCCCATGCGCCGTGGAGGGGCCTCGGACGACCACTCCTCGGGCCAGCGGACCCGCGAGGAAGTCTTGGACCGCGGCAGGTGGCGGACCGACCAGTCGCTCAACAGGTACGCCAAACGAGCCAGGATGCAGCAGAGGATCGGCCAGTTGCCAGCGGACCTCGCCCGGTTCGGCGAGGCGGTGGAAAGCAACCTCGTGGGCTTGATGATCACGACCGTGAGGACGGGCATTCTCCCTGTCCCACCGCCTGCTGTCCCGCCGCAGGCCGCGAAACGCCCCGCAAGCGGAGCCCCCGCACTCGCCAACAGGTGGAGCTCCGCCTGAAAAGACTCTGGGACCACGCTCGCTCGCATGCTCGTGTGATGTCATGCTGTGTTTGTTTGTGCGTGTGCACTCCCAAAAGGGTCTTGGGACCGCCCCGATGCACCTCGCTCGCCACGAATTCGATGACGCCGGTGATCTCGTCGTCCTGACCTGTATGCTCGGTTGGGTGCGCGCCTCTGCAGTGTTAGGGACTTGGATTTCTTTACCTCGCGCGTCGTGGGCAATTAGCCGCTCCGCCATTCGTCGTTCTTCGCCCCCCCTCTCCTGCTCCTCCCCTTTGCTGGTCGATCGGAGATGGGTGCGAGCGGCCAACTGTCTAGGCGAATGCTGTGATCAGGCTAATCGCAAAATGCGCGTCCCAGTCTGTCCCAACGATGTTCGTGCATCCCCAGGCTAGCTTGATTTGGAAGCATCTCCCTCTTCTCCTTCTCCATGCCTCTGCCTCCTCCGCCTGCTCCCTGGACGCCTGCGCGTAGTCTGGAGGAGTCCGACACGTATTGAGACTGGTAGGATGGGGCGCTCGGGACCTCGGCTCGCTCGCCTGCTTTTGCCGCTGCTCTCACGGTGTGTGCGATCGCACGCACCGAAGGCATCTCGGGAGCCTTGGGCGTCATGCTCTTGACCACGTCGTCCGTGCCACGGCTCAGCTCCCCCCCGCCTTTGTGGTCGAAACAGGCACTGACATGATAGTGGCCAGCGCTCGGAGTGTATCCCGTGCCGCCAGATGTGAGTGGTTTTTCGGAGAGTAGTTCGGCTGAGGCAGTAGTGTGGAACTAGCATGAAGTACGAAGTTTGTGCTTCGACTGCTGGCGCTCGAGATCGCGTGCCCTCCGCCGTCTGCACAAAAAAGCGAGCGATGGCCCCGATCACAGTGACATACAGCGACGTGTCGGCATTTGTGACGCACACGTGGCCGTACTCGTAGTTGCTGAAGTTATCCTCTGTTTCCGTCCCGCCCCGAACTCGAATTAACAATTCTTTGAGTGGACTCTGTGCTTCGACTGCTGGTGCTTCGACTGCTGTGCCCCCCGCCGTCTGGACAAAGAATGAGCGATGGCCCCGATCACAGTCACACTTGCGCTTCGCCCCCCTGCTGTTTGTATTCCTGGGGCGATCTGGTCCTCGGAAGAAGGGCCTGTATCCTCTCGCGTGGTTTCCCAAATCAAACTCGAATGTGCCCGTTCCTCGCTGAATTCGGCAATGGTGTCAGCACTCCTGGTTGAGGGAATGTTTTTGTGACAGCGGCAGCTAGGCTGTGCTTCCGCCGCATCGAGGATCAAATGCGCAACGCAGTGCAATGTAAAACTGCGTCGGGTAGCGTGGCGTAGCGTTGGGCACTGCGGCGCCGTGCGCGCATTCATGCTTAGCTCGTTTCTTTGTTGAGGGGGGATTTGAGTCCCGGTTGGAGGTTCAGGACAGCACCTACGAGTCGCTGGCCAGCCAGCTGCAGACCGACCCCACGGTCAACGGCGACCTCGCCAGCGAGGTCCTGGTGAGCCTGCGTTCGCGTGCCCGCGAGGGCCGCGACGCAAGCTCCGGGATCTCCGAGGAGGCGAGTGCCGCTCCGGCGGGCGCGGCCCGGTCATGGCGGAACGGATGACGACGCGAGACGACGCATGGACCCAAACCCTTGCAAACGGGACATTAATAAACGGGCCAGTGGCTAAGGGTGCGTTGTCACTGGTATTTTCAAAACATTGATTTGCCGGGCACAAGTGCGCGGTAACCCCCCCCGCCCAGAGTTGATGATGTATCGACCTTCTTTCCCGTCCCGGTTTATCATGCACTAGTGCAAGGTAGCAATGCCCTGTCACCCCGTTCTCACTTGAAGAGACCCTTTAGCTACCGCCTCGTTTGCAGGGGCTTGGTGGACGTTCTGATTTGGGCCGTCTTGCCCAAAAGTGATGACAGTGAACCCCACCCTCCCCTTCAGAAATAGTGGGAGGTAGGGGTAGGGTTCGCATTAGGCACCCTATGTGGAGCCCAGAAGCGACGACGGTTACAGGATTTGGATGGCCCCGCTCGGATTCCAACATGGAGGTGGGGACCTCGCAAGGAGGTGCTCCTGCTCGAGACGTCTTCGCTGTTCCCTCACAGACGAGGCTCCCTCTCGAGACAACCTCGCCGTTCATTCTCGGATGAGTCTCCCGCCAGAGACTTCTTCTCAGGTCAGGCCTGAGGAGCCCCAGTGTGACGACAGTTACAGGATCCTGATAACCACATGATGATTCCAACGCGGAGGTGGGGACCCCACATGGAGGGGTTCCCGCTCGAGAACTGCTCAGAAGTGATGACAGTGACAGGATTTGGATGACCCCGCTCGGATTCCAACATGGACGTGGGGGTCCCAGAAGGAGGGGCTCCCGCTTGAGACTCCCTTGCGAGTCACTCACTGACAAAGCTCCCGCTGGAGAATTCCTCGATGTTCAAATCTGGGGAGCCTATAAGTCACGACAGTTGCAGGATTTTGACATCCCCGCTCGGATTCCAACATGGAGGTTCAGACCCCGTATGGAGGCCCTCCCGCTCGAGACATCCTCGCTATTCACTCGCATGCGAATCTCGCGATGATCATGGTGTGGTGGGGGTGAGTGTGAAAGCAGGGTGTGGTGAAGATGATGGTGACCGATGGTCATGACGGGCTGATCGTGCTGATGCTTGATGATGGTTGTGTGAAGGAAATGTTGGTGATGACGATGGTGGTGGTGTTGGCGAAGATGATAATAGTGTGGGGGTGTATGATGGTGATGATGGTGATGAGGAGGGATGAGGGGGAGGAGGAGGAAGAGAAGGAGAAGGAGGAGGAAAAGAAGAACGGTGCTGATGATGACGACGATGTTGATGATGACGATGATGATGATTATGATGGTGGTGATGACGATGATGATGATGGTGACGATGATGACGATTACGATGATGATGATGACGATGGCGATGATGGTGCTGCTTATTGTGATGCTGGTGTTGATGACGATGTTGCTGGTGGTAGTGACTGTTGATGGTAATGATGATGATGGTGCTGATGAAGATGGTGGTGATGATAATGTTGATATTGATGGCGATGTTGATGGTGATGATGGTGCTGATGATGATGATGATCATTTTCGTAATCACACTGATGATACTGGTGATGCTGATGATAATGCTGATGCTGATGATGTCAATGATGGTAATGATGCCGATGATGATACTGATGCCGATGATGACAATGATGGTAATGATGCTGATGATGATTATGATGACGATGGTGCTGATGACCATGATGCTGATTGTGATGGTGGTGCTGTTGTTGATAATGTTGATGATCATGATGATGACGGTGCTGATGGGGATGGTGGTGATGATGATGCTGATGATGATGCTGATAATGATGATGTTGATGATTATTGTCATAATGCTGATGATGCTGATGATGGAGATAGTGATCATGCTAATGATGATGTCGTAATGATAGCGATGATGATGGTGATGGTGGTGTTGATGGTGATTGTGGCTGTAGTGCTGATTATGCTGATGACCATGATCATGATCGTTATTATTAGTTTGATGATGATGATGATGATGATGATGATGATGATGACAAATGGTGACGGTGATGGTGATGGTGATGGTGATGATGTTGTTGCTGCTGCTTATGATGCTGATGATGATGGTGATGTTGATGATGATGATGATGATGATGATGATGATGACTTTCATGATGACGATGATGATGATGACGATGATGATGATGATGATGATGATGATGATGCTGCTGCTGCTGCTGCTGATGATGATGATGATGATGATGATGATGATGATGATGATGGTGTGGGGGTGCTCATGCTCTGCCCTGTGTTCCTGCGGGGAGGATGTAGGGAAGATCAATCAGCATACGGAGAAGGCTTGGTATCTTCCTGACGGAGTCAAGGAAAGAGGGGGCTGATTCTCTACCCTGCCTTTCTTATCCTACCCGCTCGTCCCCGACTCCCACGGGAGGCCACCATCGACGCCATGCGCAGCGCCGTGCGGCGCGGTGATGCCAACAAGGTGCCGAGCATCGCCGCTCTGCTCGGCCGCGGTGCTGGCGCACAGGCCTCCCAGCGGCCGCAACGCGCCCCCCGGCCCCCCCGAGACTTCGGATCCGCTGTGTGGGGCCGTCCAGGATGGGCGGTCAGCACGTTTGGGGTGAGTTCTGGGGGATCCTCTCGCCTTGTGTAGCCTTCCTTCCAGCAGTTGCGCGTCGCCGAGAGCGTTCCAGGGGGGCCCGAATCGCCAGGGAGGGCCCCTGTAGGCCCGAGCTATGACCCAAAGGCCAGGTGTCGAGGGGGGAATGGGAGAAGGAACCAGGCGCTACGGCACTGTGGTCAAAGCCAGGCTGACGGACAGGGTGGAGGGGGGGAGCCGCCCGTCCGTCGCCCGCTCTCGAGCGTCTTGGGGCCTGCTTCTTCTTTCTCTGCTGCCTCCCTCTGTTGGCAGCTGCACTCATTCCAACTACTTCACAACGCCGTTCTGGCCCGCATTTCCGCCAGCGCGCGCCCCGCCTGGCGCCGCGCGTATGCCTGATGGGCCTGCGGGTGGAGCCCCCGTCCGCTCGCGCTCACCGCAGGAGGCCAGAGGCGACCGCGTTCGTGGTGGCCGTGGTGCTGGCGGTTCTGGTGAAGGGTGTGCTGCTGACTCTCTGGCGGGCGCTGGAGATCCATGGGCTGCTGCTGCAGGAGCGAACTCTCGTAGAGTCCCTGCCGCTGCTGAAGCCACAAGTGGGACTGCTACGCCCCCGGCGACTACAGGCACTTCCCCCCAGCCGTTTACTCAAGCTGTCCTCGACGACTACTTCGCGGCATACAGGAGGGAGGTGGCCGCCACGATCGACGCAAAGTTCAACTCCATCCGCGGCGCTGTGGTCAAGGACGTCACCGACCACACAGAGGGTTTGGTGCGTGCCGTGGCGGCACGTCAGGAGAAGGTCAACATTCAGTTGCGCGGCGAGATCAACGAGATGCAGCAGAGGATCGCCTCGTCGGAGAAGCAGCAGCTGGCCTTCTCGGACCAGCTGGAGAAGGTGCGGGAGGCTTTATATGTGGCGGAATCAACCATCACGGTCAAGGACTTGGACGGACACGCGGAGTGGGACAGGGCGCCTGACACGGGCATCTTGGTCGCGAGCACCACAGCCAATGTGGATCGGGAGGTGCTCTGTGGTGTTCTGGCGCCGTGGCTCAGTGAAGCTAAACTTACGGATGGTGACTGGAAGCTGCTTGGCTCGACTCCATCAAGACGATTCATCATTCAGTTCAAAGGTAATATCAACTCGGCCACCAGGAGAGCGCAGGCTGCTAGAAGGGCTCTCAAAGACAACACGGGAGCGTGGAAACGATTCACGGTCAACACGATTGAAGGGGGCGAATCGAGAGTCTTCGTGGGAATAGACAAATCTCCGAAGCAAGTGCGGAGAGAAATTCAAACAAAAGCCATGGCTGCTGCGGTGCGAGAACAATTCCCAAGCCTTCGGACGCGGCATGATCGCCAACGTGGAGTTGTGTTCCTGGATGGTTCCCCTTGCGTGCAGGTGCAGGTGGGGAATGAGAGAGATGATAGCACACGTCTTCTATGGAACTACTCCCTCGTACAAAAGCACCCTGTCAATAGGATGAGCTCACGGCTGCGTTCAATAACAAGTTCCACACGGAGGAGAGAGTACAGTGGCAAATTTAGCAGGACGCTTAACACATGGCATGAAAAGATTCGTGAGCGGCCGCTGCAGGAGATCAAGTTTGTGACGTGGAACACCCGTGCTCTCCTCCACCACAAGCCAGACGCTCGGCGTAAGAAGGCTGCCAAGCCCAAAGTGTTTTGCAGAGGTACAAGAGGTGCACGGGTCTCGGCCAGACATGCCCAGGCTCCTCTATGACCTCCAGATCAAGGCGGCATGCTTCTCCTCACTGCACTCGCACGATGCTGGAGGTGTGGTCACGCTGATACCGCAGATGACGCAGGATGAGGCTGATGACGCGGTTTGAGAGGAACGGATCAGAGTATCTGAGCTGGTCCCTGGCAGGGTATTGAGGGTGGCGATCAAGGCTCGAGCGGATGATGAGCGTCCTGACACTATGCTGGCGATATACAATGTGCATAACTTTGGTCTCACGGCCCAGCAAGTATCTTCTATTTCGGCTCGTATCTCGGCGGGGGCGGAGCAAGCGGCACTGCAGCCGCATAAGATGACTGTGGTAGCCATGGGCGACTTCAACTACACGGAGACGGCCCCGATGCACCTGCACGTGCCAGAGATCGACAAGGGGCTGATCATCCCTCCGAGACATAGGGGGCATGCTGATATATGGGCGGCCGCAATGAGCGAGATGAGGGAGTTAGACCCAGCGGTGCCGACTCACTACATTCATGATGATCAACGGCTTTCTCAGCTTGACAAAGTGATGATAAGCACACCAGGATGGTTACTACTACAATGGTCGATCAGCGCCACGGTCATGCAGTATCCTGAGGACCTCTTCAAGCAGGGGGTGTCCGACCATGCGCCGCTGTGCATCACCTTCGGCTCGCGCCCGCAGAAGGCGGTGGAGGACCAGGCGGTGCCGCGCTTCGTGTGTCAGGCTCCTGAGTACAAACAATCTCTCAATCTCCTCCTGCAGCATTCGGATCTGTTGAAACTGCCGACGATTGCGGAGTGGGCCGGGCACAAACGTCTCCTGAGAGAAGCGGCCCGACTGACCAGGAACAAGCTTGTGAGTGCTAAAACGCCCCCGTTGGAAGCCACTATGATCATTTTCAGATCGATTTCGAGGGCTGTTCATTTTTTAACCTTGTGAATCTGGCCCGAACCCTCCATGCGACCACGACGGCTGCGTCGGAGTTCTTGGAGATTTCGGAGGACAATATCGCTTCGCTTTCCTGGCCAATGAATTTTAGGAGGCAGTGCGAGCAGCTTCAGCGTGATCTTGTGGAGGACCGTGTGAACCGTGCTGAAACTGCTCCGAAGGACTCCCCTGTTTATGCTGAGAAGAAAAGAATTCGAGCGTGCGTCAGAGCTGAGAGGAGGCGTGCCAAGATGTGGGCTCCGAAGGGTAAATCGCTGCCGCTGCAGGCTGTGGTCGACCTGCGCGTGAGGAGGCCCTTGCGTCCTCTTCGGAGATGACGTCTGCCCTTCGGTCTCACTGGGCCCCTGTGTTTGCCCCCCGCTCGACGTCGCAGAGGCATATTGACCAGTGCCTTGACAAGCATGTGCATGTCTTTGACTGGTCATTGGCTGCGCCGCCATCGATGGGGTCGATTGAGCACGTGATCCATGGCGCGAAACCCACGGCTCCTGGGCCCGATGGTCTTCCGTGCGCAGCATGGCAGCAGTCTTCGCTTTCGGAAGAAATCCTATATGAGCTCATGCTTGAGTTACTCGCTGGTTTCCCCCCTCCTGTTTCCCTCAACGACCTCCTCCTCATTGTTGCTCCAAAGGGTCGTGAAGAGCGGGATAGTACCTTTGTCATGAGATCCCCGCGGAATACACGCCCTCTTGCTTTGAAGAACACTGATGTAAAGATCATATCATCAACATGCAATCACCGTATTAAAGGGTCGATTGCTGCACAAGCCCACAAAGACCAGGGAGGGTTCTTGCCTGGCAGGAACTTCCTGGACAATGTAGTGCTTCTGGACTCTGAAGCGCGCATATCGGGGATGCACCCTGAAGCTGCGAGCAGAATGCCCTCCCTCCTCTTCCTCGACTTTGGCAACGCCTTCCCCTCCCTTCCCCACCAGTTCCTGTGGGCTGTGCTGGCGAAATCAGGTTTCCCAGAAGGTTTTCTGAGCTTGACCCAAGCGACCTGCACGTTTGCTGCGGCAAGGATTTCCTTGCTAGGCTCCCTCCAGACGTTTTGCATCATTACCTCAGGTATCATGCAGGGTGCTCCTGACTCAGGATCGCTCTGGGCTCAACTAATGGACCCCTTGATTCGAGACATGCGCAAAAGACTGAAGAAACACACTGGGTCGGCGGGGGGGGTGTGTGCGGGTGACGTGGGGGCTCTTGTGGGTGACCTTCAGGCTCTTGCGCGTCTCTCGGAGGTTTTTTATGCGGCAGAGTTTTTGGCAGGATTAAAACTCAAGGTTCCGAAGTGTAAGTTAGTGCCTGTCCACCACGCCTTTAGCGAGGAGCTCAGATCCCAGGTAGCGGCTGCCCTTGCGGGGCTTGCCCCGAGGTGGGGCGGCATTCCTATTGTGGGAAGCGCAGAGTATTTAGGCGTGTGGATTGGTCCTGAGGCGAAGGAGGAGGTGTGGGCGAGGGCGTTTCGCGAGTGGGCGGGAGTCATACGAAGCCTTGCTGAGACCACAGCCCCGCCATCGACCATGATCACTATGTACAACAGTAGGGCTGTCACGAAGTTTGGATATCTGGCGCAGTTGTATCCGATCCATGAGTCCATTTTAAAGTGGGAATCTTGGGCCCTCCATAAGGTTTTGAGGATGCCCCCTTTCTCCTGGCCGCTTGACCAGCTATTAGCCCTTAGGCAGTGGAGTGAGCTCAGGCCTCTCTCGATACGTGTTCAATGCGCTGCTGCCCTTGTCAGATCTGCCCGCGTCGCAGTCACCAACTGGAAGCCCTTGTGGGTGAAAATTCGTGCTGAGGCTGAGAGGGCTCTCCCGATGGCCCAGCGCCTAGGTGGCTCGTGGAGCCCGACTTTCTGGAACAATGCTCCGATTGCACAGGTTCTGGCAGAGGCTGCTTCGGGTTTTCCTGGTTCTGCCCGCTGGCGGGCTCCGATGGCGGCCGCGCTCAAAACTTTGGAAGAAGCGCTGTCGGAGAATCCGAGGGCCCCTGTACAAAAGACGCTGGCCCGATCGCTGGCTAGCTCATTTTTTCATGAAAATCTGGCCCCGACCATTTTTAAGCCGGGTGCACGGATGCCGTCGACTCCCAGTCCCACTATCTCATGTGCCCAGCACTGTGGGCTGCCATTTCTATTGCGTGGCACCCCGAAGTACCAGTCGAAGGATGTTTGGATGCTCGTCTTGGTCTGGCTCGCTCCCTGTCCACTGAGAGGAGAGCCATGGCCCTGCAGAGACTGGTACTTGCCTTTTAT